TGGAAGCGTGGTGGAGCTAGGGGAGCCATGATAAAGCCATGGAAGCGTGGTGGAGCTAGGGGAGCCATGATAAAGCAATAGGAGCGTGGTAGAGCTATGGAAGCATGTTTGAGCTATGTGAGCGTAGTAGTGATATGGGAGCGTGGTAGTGCTATATGAGAGTGGTAGAGCTATGTGAGCGTAGTAGTGATATGGGAGCGTGGTAGTGCTATATGAGAGTGGTAGAGCTATGGGAACTGTGGTGGCGACTGTGGGGCTTGAGGCAGTGATTTGGAAGACTGGTGTAAAGTTTGGGCCCGTCTCATTAGGAGATAATTAACTCTGCGAACGGTTCATAAACATGTTCTTGCAACACCTTTTTATCCCATAGATTTCCGTTTTCTTTTCATAAAGTTTCACGCATATGTCCTTAGATGAAACAAGTGTTAAGATCAAACTGAAGAGTTAATATCGTTTGGACATCTTATGAGAGGGAATTGACTCGAGAACTTGTTGAAGACCGGTAGAGCTAGGAAACAGAGCTAAGGGAAAACAGATGAATGGCATTATCATATGGATGGGGCGAGGCAAGAGCACTGGCCTGATCCCGATCTTAGTGATAGTGTAATGTGGCCTGACATGACCGCCCACGCTCATCGGCCGGGCATATGATGATGATTTCCCCACTGTTTTCACGAATATTTACGTCCCAGTATTATGCCTGAATTGCTTGTGGTTTTGAGAATTATCAGAATTGCTCAATTTGTCAAAATTACTCTGCTTGAATTGCCCTGTTTGTCTGATTTCTTTGTCAAAAATTTCCATGGAACGTGCAGGCCCAGAAGCGAATGAGATCCGTATGATGAGATTGTGTCAGCCTTGAATTCACTTAGCATTTCCTTTCGTGACAATAATGAAATATGCAAATATAGCGACACATACAACTACGACTCATTTCGGTTCTATTCACGTTTCCCGGCCCATCTTCACACTTTCTCAGTCTCATCTAGGTCAGAGGGGTGTCACATTGAACTGTTTTCTTTAAAAATTCTCTCTCGTGGGACCTAGGCTCAGGCTTTAGGTAGGGGGTTTGGGTTAGGGCCAGTTCTTGATGTTTTTTTTTTTTTTTTGGTGGTCGTTAAAAGCTGTGTCGTCGTGTGGTATAGAACACGCGACATTGGCGCTGATGCAGTTTAAGGCAAGACAGCGTGACAGCCCTCTGAAGTAAATCAGTCTGAGAAAGTATGAATAAACGGTCAGCCAGTGTGTAGATGGGCCGGGAAACGTGAATAGGACCTTCTTTTCTTTACTAGCAGGGATTGTGGTTCAGTGAAAGGAAGGGGGGGGGGGGGAGGTGTTCACGCAGTTCTGTATAATAGCCTGTTTTATGATCCTTTCTTTTTGTGTCTGTGTGTTATGTCTCTCAACCGTCTCTCTCACTGATAACTTATACAAAATTCACGTCTTACTTGAGGGCTCGAAGATCTGGGATTGAAATTCACATCCAGACGCATTTGGAAGAAATAAAAACTGACCTTGGCTCCCAGGTCAACCCGACCCAAAATAGCAACGAAGTAATGTCAGGGGAAGTAAAAGTCGCTCAAGTTACACTTTTCAACACCTTAATACGTATGGAAGCATATCGACGTATATTTTATAGGCAAATCCGACACTCTGTTGGTAATATGGTCAACATCACGCCGGCATCCTTTACTTCACAGGACTTTACCTGGTACTAATTTAAGGCTGAATCGACCTGGCAGCCAAAATCCTTTTTGAAAAAAAGCCAGACTCCCTGAGGCTGGCAAATAACAACGGCAAAGTTTAGGTAGCTCTACTATACCCTAACGAAGAGACAATTAACCGGCTAGATGGAAACCCATTACATACATGGCAGTCCCAACTCTCGCCAAGAGAGCTCTGCCTATCCACCATACATCTTCAGCCGTTCCTCTTCTTCTTAGCGCTCACCGGCTGTAAACAAGGGCAGAAAGTTCTAGTTGTTCGTTCACCGGCTGTAAACAAGGGCAGAAAGTTCTAGTTGTTCGTTCACCGGCTGTAAACAAGAGCAGAAAGTTCTAGTTGTTCGTTCACCGGCTGTAAACAAGGGCATAAAGTTCTAGTTGTTCGTTCACCGGCTGTAAACAAGGGCAGAAAGTTCTAGTTGTTCGTTCTCCGGCTGTAAACAAGAGCAGAAAGTTCTAGTTGTTCGTTCACCGGCTGTAAACAACGGCAGAAAGTTCTAGTTGTTCATCAACTTCTGGACGCTGGTGTTGTTCCAGAATTTGAGTTTTGCGTGCACATCTGCTGTACAGATCTGACTCATGTGTTATGACATGCAGCGTTTCGAAAAACCACCTTCATTTGTGTCACAGAGAATGCTGGTGTAAATGGCAGTGAGAGAGCAGACACCCTGGCTGGCAGGATTAGGAATAGGCCTCTATGGAGAGAAGAGGCATCAATGCCATACGCCAGACTAAACGCCGTGTGGATTTCAGTTACGTGGAAAATGATTTGTCACTATAAAGACTGCATATCCTGGGTATACCCATCAGAGCAGCGAGACAAGACAAAGACCATGCGGGAAAAGAATGGGAGCTGTTAGCCTAAAAGCACTTGCACAATGAATCATACTCATGCAGCTTGTTGGTTCTTTGGTTCCTCGCCTCACCGGCAGATGCCTTCCGACTTCGAAGGAATCATCCCTAACTAGTCAACTTTTACGACACGCTTGTAAAGTAGATCTATTCTTTCCTCTCTCAAAATGGGGTCCCCGAACCCACATGGGGTCCCCGAACCCACATGGCGATCTTGCCCGCTGTAAGATAGACGCTAACAAAAGCTGGTCAGCGTCGTGGTTCAGCGAAAAGGGCTCCTGAAATTCCGGGGTGTCGGGTTCGACCCCAGCTGTGGGCGATTTGACAGCAGACTGCCTTATGTTGGTTTCTACAGTACTAGGGAGAGCCGGAAATAGCAAACTCCTGAAAGTAAATTTGCGTAGAAAACCCACAACAGCGACAACACTGCTGGGGTTAGTTCTGCAACGTCCTGTGCTGTAAAGGACGCGCAACTAACTTAACATAAACCCGTAGAGTTTATGACAGGTCGGAAAACGGCCCTTGGGGTGTGCAGTTCTGGTACAAACAAACAAATGCTGACATGTAAGTGTCGGATAGAAGATACAAACACAAGTGCCAGAAGCCAGGCAAGTTAGCAGCTACTACAGGCAGACGGGGAAAGCCGAGATCTCAGACGAGACTGGATACAGCCAACGAGACTTGCCAGCTTGGGCTACAGGGTGCGCGCCAGGCCACACAACAGCGGTTCTCATTACACCTGCAAGTATGGGGCTGGTGGCATAATCTATAATATACCAAAATAATATAATCAGTGTGCTTTGGGAACATTTAGCATCTACACCTTAGGGCATTTTATGTGGAAGACGGAGCATCTGTGGGGGAGCCTGGTGTCCAATGATTCAATTTTAAAATCAGTAATCATTCAATTTCTTTTTGCAATGTTCTACCCATTCCTAGTTTCTTCACAATCTGTGTATTTACTGATGTTAGCTATCGGCAACTAATAAATGTCCATGTTAGTAAAAAAAATGTTGACGTACTATGCAAGGTGTAACGAGGAAAGATCGACTTAGGAACGATAATATCAGGAGGAGAATCGGCACAGAACTAATACTGAACTTTATAGGTAGACAACAAATAAATGGTTTGGCCATGTAACAAGATTGGCAGCAGACAGGGCACCACAGACATCTATGTTATACAGATAAAGTGGTAACTGACCCAGAGGTCGACCACGCAGAACGTGGACCGCAGCATTATCAGAGACACTGAAAAGTACTACATACGAGGCGACCAGAAGGGCCCGTTGTTGAGATCTTATTCTTCCCTGACGCTGCGAGACATTCAAGCAGTAGAGAAAAGAAGACGAAGAAGTAAACATACAGTCAAAATACCGCTTTCTCCAGCTAACTGAGACCTAGTGCACGGATGGCACTGATACACACAGTTGAGTTATTAAGGGGAAAAGAATGAGAACCTCTGTTTTAAATACAACAAGAACACTTGAATCCAAACTGGCAAGACTGTACAGTGCCGTTCCGGTATGTGAGAATTTGATCAAGAAACACAAACTTTCTTGAAAAAACCCTACAACGGAAATGATTGTACCCCAGAGCAGTAGATGGGTCACCTGTGTTTGAAACAGATAAACAATAACAGTAACTTCTATCAGTATACCGCAGTCAGGGAAATAGATTTTTCAAACATTAACATGTATGATTTTCTTTGAAATGACTGTCCACTGGGTATGTGCAGCATAAGGCACTTTAGGAACTCCAGTGCGACTTGTGAAACTAAATGATCCAATGATGCACACGGTTTTTTTTTTTTTTTAGTGCTTTAGTAAATTCTTCTTCTTCTTCTGCTTCGTCTTTTTTTCTTCTTCTTCTTCTTCTTCTTCTTCTTCTTCTTCTTCTTCTTCTTCTTCTTCTTCTTCTTCTTCTGCTGCTGCTTCTTGAGAGATGAAGAAAGAGAGAAAGAGAAACGTACAGGGATTGAGTGATTATTATTTTTTTGTCTTCTTCCAGTTACCTCGGCGAAGTGTTGGAAGGAGGAGACATTTGTGTAAATATTATCTGAGTGCGCTTTGGCTAAAGTTTTTCATATTTCTCTCAGGCTGTTTTTGATGCCGTCGTGTGGCTTGTCCCTGCTCTGTGTTCATTATAGTTTTTTAACGAAGAACATAGACCAGGACAAGAAAATGAAGAAGCGACAGCAGCAGACGAAGAAGAAGAAGAAGAAGAAGAAGAAGAAGAAGAAGAAGAAGAAGAAGAAGAAGAAGAAGAAGAAGAAGAAGAAGAAGAAGAAGAAGAAGAAGAAGAAGAAAAAGAAGAAGAAGAAGAAGAAGAAGAAGAAGAAGAAGAAGAAGAAGAAGAAGGCGAAGAAGAAGAAGAAAAAGAAGAAGAAGAAGAAAAAGAAGAAAAAGAAGAAGAAGAAACATACCTGAGTCCACGTCCGTGGCGCTGACATTAACCACTAGAGTACCGGGTAGCGCGTCCTCGCTGACCTCCCGGTAGTAGGACATGGGGTCAAACTCTGGCTGGTTGTCATTCACGTCCTTCACATTGATGTACACTTTAACCTCTGTCGACCGAGGTTCCGCAGCGCCGTCCTTGCCAATTACCCGCAGCGCGTACAGTTGGCGCTGAAAATATTCAAATCAAAACAGTTAATACGCCTGTGGGCTCCGGGGCCCTATTTTGGGATAAGACCTTTTATTTATATACATGTAGACTGTCGATAATCTTTGTCTACAATTTCTTTATTATCTCCCTTTAGATATTTCCCATAAAACCAGTTTGATTAAAAAAAAAATGAGGTTCGTCAATGCCTATGTGGAGGTGATAATGAGGTTTTCTCTCCATGTCGTTTTACCCTGTAATCTGTGCGCAGAAAAGAAGATTACAATCAGTTCACGTCATACAATCATTTATGATCTTTCACAAATGTTTATTGTTGGAGATTTCTTACATTATTCAGACTGATCTGCTGCACGATGTGCGTGGATGCTTTAATGGCGGCACACACGTCGCATTATGTCACATGATGTGAATCATGGACAGTTAGTAAATTAGTAAACTCTTTTTTGGGAAGCTGCGGAGGTGTGGTTTTATAGAAGAATGACGAGAAAACACTAGACAGATAAAAATAGTAAGAAGAATGTCTTGAAAGAAACTGACTCACAAAAAGAACTGATTGCCCACATCAGAAAGAGACAATCTCATTATGTGATGAGAAGGAGAAAACTGGAGTACATTGTGACTGTAGAAAAGTTGGAGTGGAGGAGATGCAGACGGAGACCGACATAACAGATGCTAGACAGTTTGACGTCATGGCATGGAATATCATCTGTGTCAGAGTTGATTGAAAATACACGAGACAGAAGTTTGTGGATACACATGACTACCAACGCCACACGGCATGGACTTTAGAAAGAAATGTCTTAGCCACTGCCATATGAAATCATAGTCTACCACATTTGTTTCACATTATGCAAACTTCTGATATAGTAAAATCGATGAAGACGATGCCAAATTTATAGGCCAATCATCTTCTTGTGTTCGATTTCTGATTTACACCGACAAACAAGTTCGTATGACAAATTTGACATTTTTTTAGGAGTTCCCTTCTAGTACCATACAACTCTTAAGTTCTTGCGATCATGGCAGAAACCATCTGGCATGTTCGGTATTGATTTCCAGATCCAGGAAAGTCAAGGCTTCCAGAGCTCATAGGTCTTTCAAGTATGAGTGGACAAACACACATGGAAGAGGACCGGTAGATCTACTTTTGTGCAGGCTGCCTAGTGGGCATCAGAGGTAGAACAAGCATGAAGTTAAAGAGAGCTGCAGTAACGCGTGTAAAGAAAGAGCGACAGACAGCCCTAAGCTCCCAGGAGGAACTGGAGGTCGCGGAAAGAGAAAAGAAAGATAGGATAGTTTTTTTTTTAGGATAAAGTTTTTTTTTTAGGATAGAGTTTTTTTCAGCGCGGGACATATAAACAGATTACGACCGGTACCATCAGTATTGTCACTCTGTGCCGGCTGGTGAAGATGAGGACGGAGCATGCATGGGAATGTCCCGAGTGCTGTGATGTCAATTCTTGACTTAACTTAACTCTTAGTGCAGTGTTGACTTAGTGGGTCAATATTCCCTTCTGAATGGGCTGTACAAGCCATATTCTTGCAGGGCATGTTCTGTAGTCTGCACACACAGTCCACAAGGGCACAATGATGAACTACGACGAAGTCGGTGCATATGCTTGTTAAGTTTGTTATGTCCTGTCCTGAGGCGTAGAATAGTGACCTGCCCATACTGGTCAAGTAAGTAGTGGTCATCTCTGGCCAGACACTGTTCACTTCTGATAGATTGAATTGTCCTTTTCTTTTCATAGCATATTACTGCATTCTCTTTCTGTTCATATTCTGCCCCTTTCTTAGCATGTTTATCTGCGGTTTCGTTTTTTGATAAGGCTTTAATAACACATATGAAAGCTCTATCACACTCACAAGACCTTGATAAATTTATATTATTATTGAATCTGGCTACCAAGTCGAACCAGCTTGAAATGGTTACCAAGTAATATAGTGGGAAGTAAACGCGACCGGTGTGCTGCTGACCACATCGCCCATCCAGTACCGATTATTTATTTTTAAAAAAAGTGGGTTTAGCATCTTATGCTCTTAGTTAAACCACGCACCAAGTTTTTTGTTTAAAGCCCCACACAGGCTGTAGTCAGGGGCCTTAATGTAACTTAACGGTTGAACGTTGTTTCTAGGAGTTGTATCCTGGTGGTTTCCGTCCGAATAGTGGGTCTTTATGTCACCATGTGTTTATAGCTTGTTGCGCGTGCCTGGTAGGGTTACACGTGACTTATCCTATGCCCGAGGCGTCAATAGCGTGACACTGGTTATGTATTTTAAGTACAGGGAAAAAAAAAACATTTCCAAGCCTCCAGGCATACTGGGAATTTATGGCTGGACATATAGACCAATGGACACTTACTGGGTAATGTGGTCAATATCATGTCGGTCGCTTTTACTTCCCAGGACTGTACCTGGTGTCAATTTAACACTAGGCCGATCTGGGAGCCAAAGTCACTGGGGAAGTGGGGTTGTGCGAGGGTGGGGGAATTATTGCTCCGTCAGGACCTGAATCTACGACCTTTGAATCCGCTGGGTAGCGTCTAGCCACTACACCACGGCGGCTGCCCTTATTATACTTTGCTTTTAACAAATGAATGCAATGCAAAGCAGATCAATCAATGAATCCAAACACAGCCCTAATAACAGGCCAAAAGCTACAACAGAAGATCCACAGGAGACAATGAAATAAGATGGTCTGCTTCATAAACACAGACACGTTTGGACAAGAGGCATACATCCCCTGACCAAACGGACAGCCAGGAGTTACTGGCCAATTGGTGAAGCACTAAGCCAGATCAAGTCAATATTTAACAGTCCGCTCGGCGTTCCTGTTTGTTCAACACAGAGCCAGCCATGAATCAATGGCCGAATGTTCGAGAAACTGCTGCCAGGCCTAGGCGACGATTCGGCATGCGGTAAATTTGAAGAGAGCCGGAACACAGGTAGGGACGGATAAAAGGTGTGCTGGCGTCGTGTCAACTGTCACTGGACGCACAGAGTGGCGAGTTGGATGTCTGCAGTCACAGTCACCAGCGTTGTTTATTATCAGTGTTGTCAGTCCAAATGATAAAGAGGGGGAAAAGGGGGAAGGGAAAAGGGGGAGAGAGGGGGGGGGGGGTAAAGGAGAGACGAATGAACTAATGAACGTTTGTTCTGGAAGGGCTGAGAACTGGGCTCACAGGCCCGTCTTAAATTTTGCTTTTAAACAGAACGACAGTGGTAAGAAAGAGAAAGTAGCGATAGGGGTGGAAGATAGAGGGAATGGAAAAGGAAGGGAAGGGAGAGGAAGACAGAGAAAAATATGGAGAGAGATAGAGATAGAGAGAGAGAGAGAGAGAGACAGAGAGAGAGAGAGAGAGAGAAAGTAAACGAAACAGTGAGAAAAGGAAGGCGGGGGGATATTTTCCCTTCTTTTCTTTTTCTTCTTTGTCTTTTTCTTCTCTGTAAACTCTAGCGGAAAGGTTCTTGTTCGTCAACTTTTGAACTTTGGTCTTCAATTAGAATTTAAGATTGCGCACACAACCGATCTCCGACTTCAAAGGATAAACCCCTAAAAATCGACTTTTACGACATGCTTGTAGGTGTCTATTATTTTTCTCCAAAGATGGTGGCCCAGAACCAGAACCAGAATAAGAAATACTCTGTCACTAATTTATTTCCATTGGGATCCTGCGCATGTGGGTATGTGGGTGGGTGCGTATGTGGGTGGGTGCGCATGTGGGTGGGTGCGCGCGTATGTGGGTGAATGCATGTATTCAGAGACTAGAGACATTCAGCGACATTAATTACTGATATAATGTCCCTCTTCTATTTTTTAATTCAATGTGAGTATGTGTGTGGGTTCGTGTGCGCGCGCGCTCTTGGCGGAGATCAGACTAAGAATTACCCCCCCCCCCCGAGTGGATTTAGTGTGTGTGTGTGTGTGCGTGCGTGCGTGTGTGAGAGAGAGAGAGAGAGAGAGAGAGAGAGAGAGAGAGAGAGAGAGAGAAGATTTCTGACTGTAACAGTGCGGGTAGGGTGCGGATGTGCGTGGAAAGGCTATCACACCCAGAAATCCTCCCACAGTGGACGTGATGTTTTTCCCATAGCCGTTGTATTCGCAGATAAGCTTATCCCAGAGCAAACTCAAACCGGCGCGGCCTTCTGTAGACACCGTCGAGCCGAGTGTCAAATTCCACAGACACTAGCCTGCTCCGGTGTCGGTTAGAACAAATACCCTGGTATATTTTATGTGCCCTTTCGGCCTGTGTGGCTGTAGTGATAACTGATATCGGCAGGTAAATGTGGTGTCTCCTATGTACTACAAAGTATCCCAGAGGTGGTGCGGTTGTATGAAGATTGTAGCCACTGCGGTGGGTTAGTCAACAGCAGCCTCACATAGATATTTCGGTAAACATTAGAGACATGCTTATCTATAAGTTCGCATCGACAGAGTTTCAGAGCTGGCTGATATGCTTGCTTTTTTGCGTGCACTAGCTTCATATTTTATTAACCTCTTTCCAAGTGCACCTGAGGTCACTAATGTCCCCGTGGGTCGTTCCAACATCTGCTCTCCATTTACATCAAAGCTTAGGAATCGACATCACAGCAGTCGTGACACTTCCATCAGTGCTCAGTCCCAATCTTTAGCAGCAAGCGAAGAGTTCCAATTCCGATGGTACCAGTATCCATCTTATTGTATATCCGTCTCATCCTCCCCCTGAGTGTTGAGCGTCGGCCAGGGTAACTTCTCGCAGTGCCATTCTTCTAAGACCGTAATGATCTATCTGCGCCTCCTCACTGTTCACTCGCTTCCAAAGGGCCCTCACAATATCTTACTTGTCATGCATCAATTCACCACCAAGTGGTGCAGGGCCAGCAAGTCTATCTACCTGCTCATTTCCCAAAACACAGGCATTACCTGGAGCAAACATCCAAATCAATGGATCTCGTCTTCTTTTGTTTCAATGCTTATGTGGTAAAGCGTCACAGCGCAGAGTTAGATGTAGTTTCCTGTCTT